TATATATAATGTTCATATTACGTTCAATAGTTGTTAGTCTTCTTTTCTGCATTATTGATTCTCAGCACTCTCGTTGTAATCACTCGACACTCAGTTGTGCTGATTCCGATGCAGTAGTCGTGTGCTTCCCTCTATCTTCTTCTTTACGGAACTTCTCTCAACTGCCTCATCTGTTTTCATTTTTGATTTCAGTCTCAGTTTTTTTTCGTTTCAATCTCCATTTCCTGCTCTGTGACTTAACAGTTCAGTCGGTCGGTGAAATTGGTTGGTGACTCAACCGCTCGACAATTCAGCCAAGCTTGCATATATATACTTCATTACCGAGCGCTGAGCTGTCAGCTAGTCGATCGCATCACAAAGCAGGAAAGCAGGAGGATAAACGGAAAAAAAACCGGGCCTGGAATTATAAATTGAAATCATAAATTGAAACAAACAGGGGAGATTGTTAAAGAAAGCTCCGTGAAGGTCACGGAAAAGCGTCTGACCAGTGTACCGGAATTAGCAGAACTAAATGCGGGGTAGATACAGCAAGAGTGCCAAAACACGACAATCAAGATTAGCCTCCGTATATATATATTCCAAGTCATACCTCTATATATTCTTTTGATCGCTTGGTAATTAGAAATGAAACTATTGTTTAGTGACAAAGGAGTAGTACTAATCGGTTAATATAGTTATTCTTATCAAAAATTAAATATATCAGGACAGATGATATCTTTTTTAGGTCGAGGTGGTCCTAATCCAAACTTTATGAGATTTGGCAAATCCTTTAAAAGCACTGAAGTAAATGAACCTAATTTTCTGCGATTTGGACGCAGACAAATCGGCAAATTTAATCAAGAATACAGTGATGAATTCAAACGTGAAGACCGGAAACCAAATTTTCTTCGATTTGGTAAATAATCAATAGACCATTGATAACTCTCTAATGCTTTTATGAGGTCATGTTTGGTACACCTGTTAAAGAGGTATAAAATGCTGCTAGTGTGATGATGTCATGCAAAGTAAAATTTGCTTAAACACATTCAATTTTGACCAAAAATAGTGTATAAAAAGCTGTGCAAGCAGTTCTGGAAATCTACTGCAGCAGTAAAATTCACTGCAATATCTATGGTATTGAATAAATGTCCTACTAATACAGCATTATAATTAATTTACAAAAGCGGTTCATTTCATATTATTTTTGATTGGTAGAAAGAAGAAATACACTGAATGTTTCATCCTTCTGACGTCATATAACCTTCGGTTGTTTACACTCTGGAATTACGAAAATTTACTTCTTAGTCAGATTTAGCTAACCACCATATAAGAGATTCAGTGAGTATAATTTGAAATAATGACTAGCAAAAAATTTATCACTGCCAGTGGCTGGTAAAGGTAGTCACAATTTATTAAAAAATGAAAAAGATGAAACTTATTTAGCAACGAATTTGTAATCAAACCTTGCCAACCTTAACTCTTCAAACAATCTTAACCATATTAAACCTTTAACCATAATAATAGCAATCTATAGTTGAATAACTGTAGATTGCTATTATTATGGCTAGTATTTCATATAGTCTGCAGTAGTCTATCTTGTATTTAACTAACTTTTCTCGTAATTTGCATAAATAACTTGAAGCAGGAAATGAAATCGTACTACCAGGTTTTTTTACCGACATTTTATCGCAGTAACTGGAAAGAATGAGTGTATCTGTTGAAAAATTAGGTTGAAAAGTAATTGAACAATTGGATTAAAGAGTAATTAAAATGAACAAACCCCGTTTCGATAGAATCCTCTTCAGATACTTTATCAATCCATTGGAGTATAGGCCGCATGAACTATTGTCGTTAAAATTTCGATATCAGTCAAAGCTGAAGCAGTGATTCATGCAATGCTACTCGTACCCATGACAACGAATTCTTCTAGGCTTCAAATTTTCGCCAAACAATTCTTTTCTTCTCAGTGTAGTTGTATTTAATGTTATAATGGGCTTTGCAATAAAAATTTGTGTATCTTTGAGGCACAAAACTAATGAGCAATGATGTAATCAGTTTCCGAAAATTTCTTCCTAATTTACTCTCCTAGTTTTTGAGCTGAGTGATCGGAGAAGTTCAGAAACAACAAAGTTTTAAATAATTTGAATTGAGAAAACACTGTGGTCTGTCGTTAACTTTAAGAAGAAAATCACAGATAGTTTGAATGTTCTAAGAGTTAATCTCAGATAAATGATTCCTGATAGTTCTAAAGAAGTTGATCAGCAATATATTTCACTACTGTTCCAGTTTTGAAAAGCATGAGTAAACTGAAATCAAATTAATTTTCAATTTTCAAGTTGTTGAAAGACCTAAACTTGTTTCTTTCATTTTAAATTAAATTACTTCATACCATCTAAAATGTGAAAAGCATAGCATCAATTTGTAGGAAACATAGCGTTGTCTCAAAAAAAACAAATTCTCACAGTTTTAAAAACTGCGATTTGCACAATTGTATTCTTTCATCTTGAGCACAACCTAAATCAAATTTTTATTGTTAAGCAGAAGCACGAAATTCAATTAGTTAGCAGACAGCTCTGAATGCACCAAGTGTTCAGAAACTTGGACAAGTAACTGATGTGCAATGATGTCATCTTATTACTATGACGCCAAATTGAATCCTCAGAAACAAAACTAGTAACTGAAATATTTGGAAGTAAATACTTGAAGCTACAGGTTAATAAGGGAAAAACCACTAAGCATATGCGAAAGCGAAGAAAGAGTGTAACTTTACTGTTTTCGATAAAATGATGCTGAATGTTATTTTACTTGAAATCAGTGTGAGGAAGGATGCAGTAAGTAATGCAATATCGCTTAATACAAATGAAAGTGACGTAATAAAATCACTTTTACCAACTTACATGCTTGAAATTCGCACTGCTTTAGAAAGACTGATTTCATCCCGTCAAAACATCACTGATAACAGTCAGTTACATAAATTTGAACATCAATTTTCATAATGCGTCCTCTTTGATTCAAGTAAAATTTAAAATTTTGCGTTTCGAAAGGCAAAACTCATTTTAGCTGAACGTGCCTGCCGGTGCTTCATTTGGTTGAATGATAGGTGTTGAGTGAATGGGAGCGGTAGGTGCAGATTATGTGTATTTGCTTCCTTTTACAATTCGAAAACAGATAGCGGCCATACTGGATCGAGATGACGAGTGGGAGTCATTAGGTATGTCTATGTGTCGTGTAACTTGCATTTCTTTACAAGGATGCTAACAGCTAAATAGACATTACCTATTTTGCAGCATTCGTGATGGAAGGTATAGGAAATTCTGATGTGCAGGCTTGTCGAGATGCTCGGGCTTTTGAAAGCCCTACAGAGAATTTATTAGCAATCTGGGGTTCAAAGGGAAACACAACGGTTCAGTTATATAATTGTCTCGCGCGAGCGAAGCTTGTTCGTGCCATGAAAGTAGTCAGTCATTTAGGTCTGTTTTCGAATCATATTTGTATATTCTCGTCACGTCTAGTATATGGTCTTGTCAGGCCAGTTACTTGAGTATTTGGGAATAAAAGTACTTTAAATTACAAAACCATAGATTCAAACAAATCGTGCATAACTGGACTTCTATTGCTTCCAGTATTTACAATAAATTTCTGTAATTACGAGTCTTCGAGAAGCATAGATTAAAAATATATTAATATGTAGAATGTATTAAAATGATATTTTTTCCAGTGTTTTCAATATTTCGAAAAAATTGATTTCCTCTGATACTCTTTTCTGTAACAATTTGGTAAAAATATAGCATCAATAATCTTGTTCTGCATGCAGTTGATCCGTGCTATCACCATTGGGAACAGGAATGCTTGCAGTCCACAAGCAAAACCACTGAAAATGATGGCGAATCAGTGGCATCTCATTTTAATTGTTCTGTTCAAGCTCATGTAAGTAAATCTATACTATATGTGGTGCTGATTTTAATCTAAAGATTTTTTAATACAACGGAGCTTTGTTATAAAGTGGTTTGTAATTTTAAAGGAAGATCATGGTTCTGAAAACAGTGATGATGCACAACACTGCTTCGATGAAATGTCATCTTTAAAACCAACGAGCTCTATGTGGTTGAATTTAGTGAATGAGTAAGTAAATGTTTTGTTCTGTCGCTTCAATATAATTTAGACTTAAGTGTTATAATTGGTTTGTTTTAGTAGAAGTACAAGTTCAAACTCATTGTATAAAACTCTTGAAAATACGCCTTGTGTCAAGTACGACGAAATAATGCTAATCACACATAACTTTTCTGAAAGCAGTATTATTGGAAGTGGAGGGTTTGGAACAGTTTACAAAGCAGTGTGGGAACAAACAGAAGTATGTATCGTTTCTCTTTGAGTATTTATGCTTTTACTTAAACAGAGATGGGACTTCATATTAAATGATGATTTTTTTACTCATTTACTTGCAATGTTTGACAAATTTCATCGCTGTGTTTATTTTTACAGGTTGCGGTTAAACGTATACATGGTACGAAAGGAGTAACTGAAGTAACTTTTGTTTTTTGCTCTACATACTGTCGAATATTCATAAACTTGAATATCTGTAGCTTATATATGTTTTAGAAAGAACATCTTCGCCAAAGTTTGCAAGAACTGAAAACACTTTCGAAATATCGGCATGATAATATTCTACCGCTCTATGCATATTCACTTGATGGACCTCATCCATGTTTGCTCTACCAGTATATGAGTAATGGTTCACTCTTTGATTGTCTTTTTGGAAAAGTTAGTTTTATTTCTGTATAAAACAGCGACTTTTGAATTACTTGAGCTTCCTTTAACGCTCAATGATTGCCTGCTTTGTCATGCATATAAGCTTAAATCTCAAGTACGCAATGAAAAATGAATGATAGTGCCATTAATATTTATTCGGAGTCAAAAATTAAATCTCTACAGGGTAATTTAATGAATCATAAGATGTGAGATAAAATTTTCTTATGAAACTGCGTTACATTCAGTACCTGCTACTTCCACATACCATTTTCAAATTTGTTAGGTATAAGATTGTCTTGACATTGCATGTTTTTTAAATGTAACTTTTGTCATAATTATTTCTTTAACTCGTCTACCATTTTGTGTCATTTTAATAAGTTCAAACAATCAGGTTTTTTAAAATTAGCTTCCAGTTTTTCAAAATATGTTATACATATTTTTCATGTAGTTTTTATGTATTATTCTTATCCTGATGAGTAAATTATTATTTTTTAAAACAAATGTGAGCAATGCCTCGTAGTTATTTTTATGACTATCTAATTTTTACGACTAATTTCATAACTTTCGTAATTGGCAATAATGGATGTTGTAGTTTACTTGTTTAGAAACATACGCTTCTCACCTGGTTGCAGCGTATGTCAGTAATGATCGGTTGTGCTCGTGGTCTGCATTATTTGCATTCGGTTGCGAAAACTCCAATAATACACGGTGATGTGAAGTCAGCTAATATTTTGCTTGATAAATATATGGAGCCGAAATTAGGTGATTTTGGTTTGTGCCGAGACAATTTCTCTGAAGTTAGAGTTGGCTTTGCATATTTGTTGATCTAGATTGCGTTATTCTCAGAGTTGTTTAGATTATAAATTGTTTACTTTTTCCTTGATTTTACTTCAAGATTCTATAATTGGTTAATTGAGTAATAGGTATTTCAGGATAAATGGAAAATGGATGATTTTGTTATTACTTCTCGTATTAAAGGAACATTGGCATATTTACCAGAGGAATTTCTGTCGGAGTTAGTTGTATCTTGCTGAATGTTATCATTGATAATATTCGTCTCATAATCTTCCACGTACATTTTCCAAAGTGATTTCAGAAGTACACTCTGACAAGTTTTTGAATCTATTAATTTTGTATAAACTTGCTTGCAATACCGTTAAAATGCTAATTAAGATTTTAAATAAGTTGTGAAGATTTAAAACGTTGTACTTCAACTTCAGTCTTATTTTTATTTCAGGGGAATAATTAGTACTAAACTCGATGTATACGGTTATGGCGTAGTCGCTCTAGAAATTGCTACGGGTTTAAAGCCGTTTGAAGTCACTCGAAACCCACAGAATATTGTGGAATATGCTAAAAATTGGAATAGATCAGAAAAATATGGAAATGTTTCAGCTGATCGACTGTGTAGTTTTGTTGACGGTTACTGATATGGCTTTAGATCTTAATACATTTTATTGATGTTTAGTTTTAAATGATCTAATTAAAAATCCGTTTTAAAATCTACTACAATAATTTTGCAGATATGGATATCAGTTATTTCAAGCATATATTGAAAATTGGATTTAGATGCGTCGAGCAAAATTATCACAAACGACCAAGTTTTCTCGATATAATTAGTTCTTTCCAGTGTGTAAATGCACTTCGTGTGTAGATGATGTTGTAGCATAAGTTTTTTAAATATATAGAATCGAAAACATGTTTTGCTGCTGATTATTGTACATAACTTGGTATAAAAGGTGGATTGATTTTGCTTACTTTTTTGTATAGTTTAATCATAAACTGATGAACGTCTCCACTTCTGTAACATGATTGGAATTATATATTTGATTTAAATATTTTCTTGAATGATTAGGAGGTGTTTAGATGGAGCTGAAGATTAAGATCTAACAAATGTCCTATATTACTATTTCATTTTCATATAGTTTTAGTTAAAAATTGCAAGGTGTTAGAAAAATTCCTGTATTATATTTAGTTTTGGATTTTGGGTCAGTTATTCATGGAGCGAAACGTAAATCCATTTTAGAATCGTCGTTCGTCTTCTGATATCTGAATAGTAAGATGGTTGATATTAGTTTGGAACTGAACCGATCGGATTATATTGACGTACGCTTGACAGAAACAGAATTGAAAGAAGAAGTCACAATGAAGCTGTGTGAGATTTGTTGTCGTACTTTCTCAAATAGCAATGCTCTTCGTTTACATCAGGTTAAGACACACAGTCTTGTTCGTGGAGAATCTGATTTTGCGCTATTTCATCGGAGACGGGTTTCTAAAGGTAATTTTCTATGCGTAATTTGATGGGTGAAAGTTTGTTAAGCTGCACTTTCAGCATTTACTCGTTTCCAGATCCTAAACGACATTACTACTGCCCTATTGTCGGTTGCAAATATAATAATTGCAGCTATTTCGATTCTTATAAACTTCTTCATCAACATTTTCTAAAGGTCCATGGTGAAAAGCATCTAAGGTTCGTTCTTCCCATGTTTTGGTATACTTTTTTCGTGTGAAAAACTTTCAATTTGGGGTATATTTTAGATGCGACAGATGCCAAACTGCAAAATTCAGCCTGCAGCGCGATCTAAGTTATCATCAGAAGAAGCAATGTCCATTTAAAGAAGGGACGTGACATTCTTTATTTTTTATTTTTGAAACTATTTTGTAACATTCAAATGATGAAGTGTGAAACGCAATAAACTATGCAAATTGAACTTAGAAATTGTTAATAATTTAAAAAATTATGTGATGGTTGTATTTTCAGTATATGAGTGAGTATTTGCTTTCTATCAGAAATTTTTAGTTGAACCTTTATACTGTTGAACTTTCAGAATCTGTTGCAATAAGACAAACTGGAGCAAAATCAGCTGTGCCAAAAGAAACCAAAAAGTATGTTAAGTCATGTAGGAAATTAAAAAAGTCGATATGAGGGTGCCAGTTTCATAGCATTTGTATGTTGAAATGCCTGCTGTAAATGATTATTAATCAATCTTTGCAGAAGAAAAATCTCTATGCCTGTCATCGTCAATTTCAAAATTAATCGGACTGATTGGACGTCTCATCTCAGAAGAGTTTGTTCTGAGCCAAAGTGAGTTTAAAATACGCAGATATTGGTGAATAAAAGCGACAAAAATTCTCTTATTAGAATAAGATTGGAATGATGAATGATCAGACTCCTTCATATCTATTGGAGTATTACAGTTGACTTATCATATGTATTGCTAGTGGAGTGGAATTTGGTACATAAATCACTCCCTCAGGAGCATTACGTTTGCCTTATCCCAGATATTGTTAAGGTTCATGCAAAATAAAACAAAAAACATTGTCGGTTATAGCGGTTTATTTGGAGATGTTTCGTGCTCTCAAAATTATTTTTCATTGCTTCATGAATGCACTACATCCATAATTCAAATTTTTGTTATTGAAAATTATAAAAATTATATTTAGGCTTAATTTCTAGCAGGTGATTCGTTTTTTAAAAAACTTGAAGGTTTTAAAGGTTTTATCCACACTCTTTTTTTTCAACCAAAATTTCCTGTACCATTTTTCACTTCTCGTTAGCTTTTATTATTGGACTTTGGTTACTATTGTTTTTTAGCCGTTTTTAATTAGTTCCAAGGTGTACAGGTATACATTTATTTAATAATAGCATTGTATGCAATAGACAAGTAAATAATGAAAAAACGAATAAGTCAAACTAGTTATATATATTTATATACGATTGACTGGTTTAATATCTTAATATTCTTTATATCACTTTCACTTTTCAGTCATCGAGTAAATAAAAGCGTTCAAACGAATGACATGAATACTTATTATCATAATTCATTTTTGCAACATGCGAGTTCTCAAACTACACAGCGAACCAACTACGATTTCTATCCTGCGGTAATTTTGAAAGTAAAACTTGTTTTCCGTAGTTATATTAAATGTAACAGCCCATGGCACTTTAGGTTTTGCATGAGTACTGCGATTTTGATTGTCAAGCACAAATTGCTAGTGGAGTGGAATTCGGTACACAGATCACTCCCTCAGATATGCTCAATGAAGATTTAAATACTAAGCAAAGTAAGGCGCACGACGATTTTGAGTTCGAAGACATTTGGCGTAATAATGAAACTCAGACTTCTGTCTTTACTGGAAATGACGTGTTAACACAAACAGCTACAGACTTGATGGATGGATGGAGCATGACCGACTGGGACTTTCTAATCTAATTCAAAGAGATCAATGAATATGCTAGGCGTGATATTCAGCTTTCAATTCTGATCTTCCGTTTATGATCGAATTTGGTGCCAAATGCTTATAAACTCGTATTTTCTAGTTATGCTATCCTTGCAGTTTAGCGTTGAGAGAATTCAGTTTTATGTCTTTCTATATTTCGTTACTTGTTAGTATTACTGAACAATTACACTATATGTTTAATCACTTCTTGAACATGATCATTTCCGTTTAGTCAGCACTGTTCTGCTATATTCCGGTATCACATTGAAAACTATAAATACTAATATCTATCACTACTAAGAGAGCAAAATAAATGCAATTGTGAATAAAAGAAATATGTAAAAACAAGTGTTCGGAGTTTGGAGGTATGATCGGCATTAGAGATGAATGATATAAATGCTATTTCTGGGTGCACATTCACAGAACTCTATTACTAATAGATTAAGTTATGAAGAACAAAACAAACTTTTCTAGTCATTCAGGCAGCAAATGCAAAGCACTGAATGATGAGTCACGAAAGACAGCAAGGAAACGTGTTGATTTTAAATATACGTATATATAATATGGAGAGTTCAAGAGCTGCAAAGGATAGGAATGTACATTACCAAAAAGTATCATTTCTCTTCTGCTCATAACTTGTATGCATTACCATACTTGTATTTCGAAAACTATCCATGTATATTCTATAAAGATGTACATATATTAGATCAGACAAAAATAGCCTTCTAAGTTCAAGGATTTAACATTTTTGTGTGTGGCACATCTTACCTTCGTGGTAAGAACGAAAGTCTGAAATTTTGAAAAAATTATTTCAGACATGAATAAGCTTCTCTAGACACAGAGTAATATATTTTTTTTAGAAATCACAGCGTGCTGTATCTTTAGACTTGTAAAGTCAGTAGACAATTGCAAGATGGATATTTTTTCTGTTTTTCAGAAAACTTTAGAATCTGCGCCCAAAAAAACTTGGTCAATGAAGCTGCGAAGAGGTGCCAGTTGTTTCGAATCGATTAAATCGAACTCGCGAATAAAAAGCATAAAGTGTTTGAAGCTTGTGTTCAGATGTTCTACTGCATTCAGCTGTTCTAAAAATAGCAACATTTTTTACAGATAGCAAAGTTAAATAGCTTTCTTTACAGATGGGCAACACTACAGTCCATGCTTTGCAAGATAAACTACACTATTCGTGAAACAAACACGATTTTACAGGGAGCATAAGTAACACTAATTTTTGTTCCTTTTTTTGTTGCAAAATAGAAGGATCAGTATTGAGAAGCTACAATATGAAAACGACCGTGAAATAATGTTTGTTCCCGCTCTAGCAACTGCCATGTACAATGTAAAGATAACTTGAGTCATATTTTCCTATAATACCGTGAGCAACAGATTTACTATCTACTATCATGACGATGCATTCAAAAGCTGTCCAAAACATGGATATTCATAACAAGCACTAAATCACAGTACGAATTTTAGAAGAAACTTGCTGAAAAAAAATACCGATGAGCTCAAGATGTTGATGATACACATGAGCATATACTCGAAATAATCGTTTCGCGATTGCTTTCGTAATATACAGAAAATTTGGAGGAAAAGGTTGGCCTGAAGTCAGTGAATGAAAACTGAATATTGAAATGTGCAAAAAAGAACAAATTTTAACTAATTCCTAAGTGAACATAAATGAAAAAATTATGACTTGAGTAACGACAAAAATGGAAAATTTAACCTATTTGAGAGGGAAAAACATTCTCGTCATCAAGCTGTTCATGTATCCAAGTCATAAGATAGTCGATATATAGAGGTGCCGGGCAGTTAATATTCTTTTGTCCATCCATCCAAATATATTCAAATTTTGGACCTGCACACATCTTTGGACACGACTCCTTGGTACAATGGTCACTTATTGTCCCGAACAGCATACTCACCTGATTGAAAAAATCCAAAACTGCAACACAAGAACTCAAACCAGCTTTTACAAATTTTTGATTGAAAAAAATTTACGTATCCCTACTTTCATCACTACATGCATTTCTAAGACAATCAAGATTCCAAACACTACATCCAATGCAAGTGGTTCTGACATAAGTATGCACCATTTACAGCAATCCACTCGTTAGGATCCTCGCCTTGAGGTAATTTAACCGCTTCCTGCAGATCACTACTTTCCAAAGTGGCATATGCATACTTCAGCAATACGCTTTGTTTCGCATCAAGGTGACGCAGTCGCAACATGCGTCCCTAAATAATATTACATTAGATCAAATATCACATTCTAGTACTTTATAATTTAATTGGGTTGACGTCGCATTTGGCACTTTGTTTACTTTTAATAGAAACAACCAACAGAATCCCTTACACTGATTAAAACCAACCCCTACCTTACACTTCTCGAAGGTCTATCTACGGAAGATTTCACTATACAACATAATGCATGACGAATACCTTTTAAATACCCCAATACGCGGAAAACGATTAAGTAAAAATTCATCTCTTGCTGCACAGACAATATTTCCAATAAGAATAAAAAGGTGATCACGAATTTTCTTCATTAATAACTACGAAAGTTACATTTAGCTTATAAATTTGCAGAAAAATCAACAACTAAAACATATATCTCATGGAAAAGAGTTAACAATTCCGACAGTGCTGAAGGAACATCTGCATCTCTACTAGCGAAAGAAAACCAAACGTGTGTAATGCGACTATGAAATGCAAATGAAGAAAGAATCACATTCCAAACTATACTTATATTACACAAGCTATGACTTCAAATTTCTGACTTTAAATAAGCAATAATTATAAGAACATAAATTTAAAGAAAAGTTTTAGTACGAAAAACGACGAATGTATGACTAACATGACAAGCATGAACAATATAGCAACACACGAAGCAGTAACTATAAAGAGTTACTTACGTACTTTTTACACTCATCTGACAGCATAGGAAGCAAAAGAGCTCACATGACAAAACACTATGTCAACTTCAAGAAGGGAAGAAGTAAAACAATAATGGATGTTTGTAAATTAGAGTGAACAAAAAAACTAATCGTTCACTTCCTACTATATGATATTATCAGACGACATTAATATACAACACAACTATTTATGATTTTGAGGGAAAAAAAAATTATCTACTTTTAACTGCATGATATTATCATAAATCAACAACATTTATCAATATTATCAATTATTAAATAACGATCAATATTACTTATCATTATTATTATTGTTATTTATTACTTTGTCACTATTATTTATTATTAATATTATGACTATTTAATACTATTATTTAGTACTAATAATTATTATTTATCATTACCAATTATTATAGATTATTTAAAATTATGATAAACACTATTATCATTATTATTAATACAAATTGAACAAACATTAAAAGTAAACCCTAACTTCTTAGTAATACATCATTACTACAACGATATGCAATCGAATATTTTATATAGTATATCATACTGTGCTATGATGTACCATTACATTAATATTATAACATATTTTTGTATAATGTCATATTATGTTATCGTATTATAATGTATTATATTACATATTCTGTTACGATTGTGCCATTATATTGAAGATGTTATATTGATGATATTATGTTATAGCATGATTATTGCATGTAGATTCATTCGAAGTTGAAAAATACTAAGTAATTTTGCTCGTAGCGAAAATTCATATTACCGATCATTGTAAAAATGCAACCGAAAGCATTAAATAATGTAAAGCAGTTCCTATACATAAAACTTCATAAATTTCGGTATATCTCAAGAACATGAATTGAATGAATGCAAATCATAAATTAAAAAAGTTCTATGTTACTTGCTAAACGAATTAAAAAGTCGAGAATTCAATGACGTAAGAAATTAATGTAAATTGAATAACAAAACAAACCGTCATCGTACACAATGGAAGAAAAAGAATCGAATCCCAAAATATATACAGCAATTCTAATTTCCATAAAGGAATATAATCTATAAAACTTTTTTCTTAGAGAAACCAAATTATAAATAAAAGTCTGTGCTACGTATTGCTCCAAGAGCGAACTAAATCTCATTTAGTAAAATAGACGACGCCCAACTTTTTTCGTCATCAACAATGTGATGAAAAAAGATCTGTTATCTGTTTAATGTGATGAAAGAAGATTTATTTGTTCAAAGAAAATAATCTGGAGTTCGTCTAGTAACATGCGGCTCTCCACGCCTTGGTGCAGGATCAAACTGTAAAAACGAATATTTGAGTTCGTCATCTAATTCAACCATAGCTGCCTGGTTTCCACATCGATAGCAATAATTTGGAGCTGAGAAAACGGTAACGACATTACGATCATGACACCAATTATAACCCTGAAAGAATTTAGTGCTAGAAACATAAAAGAATTCCATAATTGTATTTGCATGAAATCAACTTTTAGCTTTAATGCACATTCAATGCAATTTAATAGGCTATTTATTGTAGTCAGATCTAATAGATATCTTACACATTGCGATAATCTAAACCTGATGACAGAAGAATGCACATTGGATCAACAATAAACGAGCAGTAAAATATGACACTTCTAATTGCCCGCCATAAATATTTTTTTAAAGACTTACTTCCATTACTAATTGATGAGCTCTTGAGATGAGAGTGAGGCCGTTAGAATGATTGAAAGTTTCTGAAATGTCTTGACCGAATGTATAACCAGCTCCACGAGGAGAAATACCCCATCCACCGCGATCGTCTGGATCTGACCATAACAAATCGCACATCGGACCTGCAAAAAACTACATTAATACACGGAATTGTACTTTCGAAACGAAAAAAAAATCATGTCAGTGCGAAGTATTAATCAACAATTACCTTCGTGAGGTACTTCCTGTATTCTGTCTAAAGCACGAATATGATCAAGACTATCGATAGATGGTGAAAGACCACCATGCAAACAAAAAATCTGTCCATCCACCAATGCCGTTAAAGGAAAATAATCAAATAAATCTGTAAAGTGCTTCCAAACATTGGAATTGCCATATTTACGGAGACATTCATCGTAAAATCCATAGACCTGAATATGCTTTCTGAACTGTTTTCTAACAGAGTTTTGCTAAACAACTAGTTCACTCAACGTTTATAAACTAATAAGTATGAATCAATATTTCTAAGAAAATAATCCTGTTTAATTGGTTAAAGATAGAACCTCAAAATGTTTTAATATTAGCATCGAAACTATACATCAAACATGCAGAATTTTCTACATACAAAAGCAAATAATGAAAGCATTCGAATAAACCTGTGTAATTTGGCGAGATTCATGATTTCCACGTAAAATGGTGACGCGTTCCTTATACCTAACCTAAAATGAAATTTAAAAAAAGAAGCAGCACATAAGTGAAAGAAAGAAGTATATAAACGACATTTACATGTAAAACATAAAATACAAAAAATGACTAATTTGAAACACGATCATTAGCTTACAACAAAATTGCAATTAAATGAAGAACTCAGTTTCTAGCTAGTATAAACTGTTGTTATAAATATGAATTGTCATGTGAGCACAAGTAAACATTATACATTACAACTTGTCACAACAGTAACCTTTAGACAAACTAGCAACGAAACTGTCTCAACAGAATAATATCCCCTATCAACATAGTCACCCATGAATAAATAGTTAGTGTCTGGAGACTTTCCACCCATTTTGAACAATTCCATTAAATCATGGAACTGGCCATGCACGTCACCACAAACAGTTACCGGACACTTTACTTCTTGTACGTTGGATTCTTTTTGCAGAATTTCTTTTGCCTACAAAGATGCAGCTGAAATTACTCTATTTGCGAGCTAGCAAGAGATTAATAGTTGCTCACGTCACTTGACCAAGTGCATGGTGAGAGTGCAAAATGAAACTAGGGCTAATTTTGATCTGTTTAATAGTTTTAAATATGGATAAACTATTAAATTGGAAATATCTTTTATCCATTTCACCTCAATCACTTTTAAAATCGTAAACAATCATCTGATTAAAATTAATTGAGAAATACAGTATCTTTATTGATGCAAAATTGCTCCGTAATAACCAAAAATTCCAAGTTGAGATAAAATGTACTTTTTCACACAATGTCTTCACTTGAACTTCTGAGAGTTGTTTACATTCATATAACTGCTCGATCCACAGGTCAATTTCTTTCAACATTGGGCGATCGACTGTATTAGTACTCGTTAGTAATGCACTTCCCAGAGACGCTGACATACCCAAAACTGTTTTCTTGTAAATGACTACTTGTTTTATTGCCTGAATTCTAAGAGCGTTTCAATCATATGATTTATTCTGGCACAACTTTATCGAAAAATGTCAAATGATTAAAAGCATTACCAAAAACACATATGTCATATATATATATATTTGCTCTCGAATGATACGTTAAATTTCATGACGACTCAGTGACACACAAAACGTTGTGATCCCAACGTCTATTCTCACCTTAAAAATTTGCTACTAATTTGATGATCTGATTAAAAGGATTGCATGAGTAGCTAGCTATTAAGTCAACTTACTGCTGCACTGAACGAAAAACAATGCAGAGCAACTTTCTTAATATGAGTGCAGCATGAAATTGCTGTGGAATCACTTTTTCCTATCTCCGCAATTTGTAACGTATTTCAATTATTTCTTTATTTTATACATGGTGAGGGCCAAGTCGATAAAGTCAATAGTTTCCAATAGTTTCACGGGACCGACAAAAAACAGACTATATCTTTGTTAGGAAATGAGAAGCTCAAAATAATCCATTCCAGACGTCAATGAGGTAAGTAAGCAGTAACGTCATGTGTCTCTATCTCCGTACACTTCTTTGCGTTAGTGTACCACACATCTTATTACGGTGAATTCGCTACCTAAAATGTTTGTTTTGCATCAAAAGTTATCACTTCTGGTAGAAAGGTCAGAAGTGTCCTTGTTAACTATGGTGAAATAAGAATGCAACTGTAACAAATTGTCAGCAATAAATTACAGCAGACATGTATTATGTACATTCTAAATAAATTGTGTATACAATAACACTGTGACTGATTGGAGTGAAGGAATTGTATTTTGGAAATTGGATTCATGTAGAAGTTAAGCAGGCATTTAAGATAGCTGCACTGGAGATGCTCGGGAACTGTGATAATTGGTGATTTCTTCGGTCAATTGTTCAGAATTAAGAAAGCACTTTATTCCTCACAGGTCAAATGTGTAATACATATTGAGGAAAGTATAATAAAGAAGGCAGAAAAAAGAATTTCATTTGAAAAATATACCCATTTCACGTAACAACAATGCTGCTCGCTTGTGAACGTAGTTTTGATTAGGGCTATAAAAATGATAAAGCAACTGCAAAATAATTTTATTTTTTACTGCTGACTGCATAATAATACGAAAAAGATCATGAGAGACTTTAAATCGCAATAATTTACGTAATATTCAGTTAGTTATTCTTTTGTAGAGTCGTTCGTTTATAGCAATGCCAAATTTAATCGAACTAATTACTTTTTAGAAGATTAAAAAAGAAAAAAAGTATAGGTATTTATTTGCTTTTTTACCTTAAAATTTGCATTTTCATCTTGGGCTTATCGCCATCTCTCTTTTCAGCATCGCACATAATATGACTATAACTTTTCCATCAGAAGCTCTTCGTGACTTCCATTTCTGTTAAATATTTCTGAAATCAGACAATCTTCGGCCATAAATTGAAACGAGCGACAAAAGTAGGACTGAATGCATCATTTATTGGTCGCGTTAAAAAGTGTTGTCTGCACCTGTTGACAACCAATGTTTGCTGTCTGTGTTTTATTACTTTTGTTCTTGAGGGAGATATTATACTTCAAAGATGTAAACTCAAGTCATTTGTGTGGTAAATCAAGGATTTCAGGGGTAACGGAAGAAATATTTAAATTCTGCTAAGTGAGGAAAATGTGATATCAATCAGTTTTGTGTTCACTTATAACTTCTAATAGAATGCCTATATTTGCTCATAAATCTCTTCAAACTGATATCAGTGCATCTTCATTAAGCTCATTATTTTTCAGGTATACAATAAACAATTAATCATATCTGTTCACTGCTTAAATTCGATCATCTAATCTAAGTATTTGTCAGTCAAAGGTTTGTCAAATTAAACGTTCATTTTTCTGTACCATTTTGCTAGACCACTTGTATATTATGATTTACTAGTAATTATATATTGTATACAGCTATAGAAGTCCATGAATGATTCTTGGGTACTATTTCGATGCATAAAACCAGATACTCATTTCCAGAGAAGTTATGTTCATTTAATGGACGTTCATCAAATTTTACCGGGTGCTCTCAATAGAGGAGACGAAGTGTTCAGCGTTGGTGCAGTTGATGGCTTTAATTTTACGGTTTGCTATTTTCTGAACTCTATTCAGTTCCAGAATATATTTATCTTCAACAAAATGCTTATTTTGACTAGTTCTATTCTTTTTTATTTATATGTTGACAGGTTTGCGCAGTTGGCACAAATATTGTAATATTATCCTCCTCTTTTGAACGTGTACAAGTCATTACTCCTGTAAACAATGCCGAAGGACTACTTGTGAGATGTGTAGCAGCATGTCGCGAAACTGGAAAGGTTGGCATTTCCATTAAGCCTATTATTTAGCTTAGATGTTTTCGTCTGTAGTTTGGGTAACCTTGAGAACAAATGTCATTTTCGGATTTATAAACCTTTTGCCTTTTTAAGTTGCATCAATTTAGTTTTAAGTGGCCAGTAAACTGGTAGTATTTCGTATTCGAGACTTTTAACGTATTGATTTCACGAACTAAAAACACTTTTTTTTGTTTCAGATCGTGGCAACTTGCAGTAGTGTAATACGTATTTATGATCCAGTTGTGCAAGCTGAAGACAGGATAAACGTAACCATTTGTTGTAATGTTTCTCGCTTAAATTTGTTTAGTTCTTGTCTCAGTTTCTTCTTTTTGACTTTAAATCTCATTCATTTTCCTAGCGTCGATGTGCATTGTTAATGTATTTCAAAAATTATTTTAGGCTTTCACGTATCGTTGGTCCGAAACATCTAGTTTTCTTTTGGATTATCCCGTGGATAAAGTCGAGTGGAGTTTACAAGGCCTGCGGTTGTTGTTATGTTGTGGTAATGAGCTTCATTTGTATCAAAATTCTCTCCTTTCTACAGCTTTGACTGCCAAGTCAAATGTGCCTGTAACATTTGGAATACATGAAGAGGTTCATAATTTTGTTAATTTCAATTTATTTTTAATTGTGTTTCTCGGATTCTTCAAAATTGTGAATTATTCTCAGGAAACTGAAACAGAAAATGGAACGCAATCTTGGGATTGCATCTGGTCTCAAAAGTTAGCGACAAAGCCAAAGTTTATGGCTAGTTCTTGTGATGGAGTTTATTTTGCTACGTGTGGCATTTCAGATTGTATGGTAAAAATATGGTATCAGAGAGAAAGTAGGTATTACTTATCTTTTTTTGTGCTTTATAAGAAATTTTTTTATTCAATTTCTTTTTACTAACTCATCCTTTTATGAGTATTGTTTCTGAAAAGTATCTCGGCACTTGTTCAATAATAATAGTAAAGAACGTGTTTTGTTTGGTTTCATTTGTGCGTGAGTAATGATTAAGATGAAATACAAATATCAGTAATATGAAGTAGTAAATCGAAAACCATGTATTCTAGAAAAGTGTTCTGTAATACTATTATTTTTGTAAAGCTTTAAAAATTCATATAGTCAAATTTCAGAAGTACTAAACGTATAACTGATAGGTCTTTAAGGGTCCAATAGGTTGGAAGATGGTCAGGAATTCTTATTTGGTTTTAGTTATGTTCAACATCCAGAACCAGTTGCTGGTTTTGAATGGCGAAAAGTTCCTCATTTGATGCCAAAGTATGTATTATTTATAGTTTTGTGATTAATATTCATTTTGGATCATAAAAACGATTAATTAATCTTGAACCCCTCTAGGCAGTATGTTCAAAATGTGTTGCTGACTTGGTGTGAAGATAATACGGTGCGGGTTTGGAAAGAACCTACTACAGAATCTTCTGATTTCCAAATTATGAAAAGTGTAGCAGAAGTAGCTTGCCTTGAAAGAAATCTGCGAAGTGAACACCGATCAAAAAATCATTCTATCCGAAGTACTCGAATAAAGATCAAAGCATTGGTCAAGAAAATTTTGTAAGTTACAAATGGAAGCTTTCATTTTTTTAGCAGTTTCCGAAGTTTTTTGAATCATTCGAGTCTTTAAAGGGCAGAAAGTCTTAAATTTAAGTCGTCGTTGTTTTTAGAGATAGAAGAAAGCATACAAATGGAATGGTGCAGTTGTCGAGAACTTTTTCTAAAAATGCATCGCTGTGTGAAATTGCAGCTGGAAAGCATGCTGAATGGAGTCCTAGTTTCTATCTATGTTCCACCATAAATGCTCAAAACGGCATGTTATTTATTTGTTGTGACAGTGCAGTTTCTCATAGGCTTTCAATAATAATAAAACTCATGTTGATCACTGCAATGTTAATAATATTTCAGACTGCTTTCTTGTTCCCACGTTGGAAACTTCTGCAGAACAAAGACCATTTGTGGTTCACTGGTTGAACAATAAGGAGATTGTTTATGATATTGGTATCGAGAAAGTTATGGTTGATGCGTTGTCCTCCGACTTCTCTATGGAATTCTCTAAAACGGAAACTTCTATCGAAAGTATTATTTAAGTTTTTTTTGCTTTTAAGATCTAATTGATTTTAGTTCTGGTATGTAATTTCAGAAAATATGTCGGAAATTCAGTATTCGGTTCCTGAGCTTTTATATGAGAGTAAAGAATCCCAAATTGAAGGTGCTAAAAATGTAGTAATCGGTACTTCGGAACAAGAGAAGATATTGGAAGGAACATTGGTTAGTTCTGTTTTTCTTTTGGCATTGAAATCAAAGTTTCTATGTATTGTGTGTTTTGAAATTCAAATTAATTAAGTTTTCAGGACAGTGCATTTTCGACAGATTCCATGGATTTCAAACTGGATATGCTTGTACGAGAATGGAAGAAGTCCAGTGATATTTTGTTTGCCGTGCACCCTGCTGATGGCAGCTTATTAACTTGGTAAGATTTTTTTCAAAATTATTAATATTTATATAAATAATATCTTGTTCATGATTTGGATTGATTCGAAATTTGAGACTTCCACTTGAGAACAATGCATAGTATATTGTTAATATCTAAAAATAAGGGAAGTAAATTTTTCAGTGTGTGCATATTATCCTTATGAATCCTTCATATTTAGTTTATAGAGATATTTCTTTTGGTAGTATATTGTTAATACCTAATTTTCCTATTTAGAACATTCGAATTCATTTTTATCTCTAGTTTCGATTTATCAGGGACGAAAATCTCTCATGATTCGACGCAGAAATGTCACTTATCGTATTGGCGTCTTTTTAAAGTTTCAGTTTTTTATCTAATTAAATTTTTATCAGAGTGAATGAAACGTTCTTGGATTTCCAGGACTATGGAATGGATTGATGATCCCTTCAGACAACCCACTCTTAGTTTCACATCGCGATTCCCATCTGCATTTTCACTTTCGGATTCAATTTCTCTGAATCCTTCATTATGTGTGTATTATCCTCATGATTTTCTTCATGTTCAATTTGCTCAGAAGAATATTTCTTCTGCTGGTATGTTGCTATTATATAATGTCTTATTTGCAGTCTTCCAATTTATTTTTGATCTCTAGTTTTGAATCGTGCAGGACAAGGATTTCCTCGTATGGTTGAGCAAAGAAATGTAAATTTGCTGTATTTGTTGACTCATCATAATAACGGTTCTTTGAACATGTGGAGTTTAACTATGGAAGATAATGGAAAATTCAATACGATTGTGAACATATTGCATACTTCGAGAATGTGTGGTCATCGTTATAAAATTTCGCAGGTATAATGTATTGCATGTAGGAAGTTATTGCAAAATGTGAAGTTACGAAACTTGTAGTTGGATCAGTTAATCAGTTTTATTTTGTCATTGAATTTCTATGTCCTCGTTATTTAGTTTCAAAAATTGTTCTCTAGAGAATGGTAGCTTGAAGTAAAGGCAGATATTTATTCAGTCTTCAGATGATGAATTGCTATTAAAAGATGAAAAGTACAAAAGGTGATTAGATGCTTCAGTTTCATGGAAGCGTGAATGATTGTGAAATGTTATTTATAATTGTATTATTGTTACTTCATTTTTCATTTGTAATTTACTTTTTAGGTCTTTGCTCATCCGATGCTTCCTTTGATGCTCACTACAAGTCATTATAATCACATGACACAGGGTTCAGAACAAACAGGGAAAGCAGAGTTAATATTATGGAGGGTTACTCCTGTAGGACCGCTCTGTAAACGAGGTGGCGTTCGAGAACTTACACGAATGACGAGCAATTCATCTGACTCATTCAAAGCTGTTACATGGTTACCGGCAATTTTCTCGGGGTAAGTGTGAACCATATTGTGGGATTGAATTTCTAAATTGTTATTTCAGCATATAGCAATAGTGATGGATTTTAGGAGCATTATTTTAGCCAAAGAAATAATAAATATTGAGATTTTTATTATCTTGAATTTCAGTTCATTACTGGGGACACTCTCTACTCCATCAAGCTCTTTTTTTGTGGCTAATTGCTCTGGAAATTTCAATATTTACCAAGCTATTGTTGATGCTGCCGATTTCCTTGCAGAAAGACATTCTAATGGAGGGAAAAATGTTTCTCCATTTGAAAGCAAGTAAGTAGTTTGTACTGAAACTTTATTTGGGCTACAGTGTCATAGGGCTACAAACTATAAAATCTAAGTTGATTCCGTATTCTTCACTTTCGAAACTTTGTTGTTTCTTCTTTAGAAATGCGTTTATTAGGTTTATTTGAACAAATGATTAAGATATACTGGACGTTATTAAGTTATTGAAAAGGTTTTTGAAGAGTGTCATAATTCTGTGCCCTAAATGGACATATTGGCGTTAGAGCAGTAAGAATTTTCCAGCAATTCAACTAATGATAATACGATATTTGAAACTGGAAAGAAACAAAGCCTAAAAGAAATGTATAAGCTTGTTTCCACGCAGTCATCATCTAAACCTGGTTGTATACTTTTACTGTCAAAAATCGAAGTTGCTTCGGTATTCTTCTCTTTTGAAACTTTACTGTTCCAGTTTGAACTTTTGTCTTTTTCTCAGCTTCTTTCTCTTCTATACATTTAAAGACCATTTATTGAGTAATAATTGAATTATAGCATATGGATAACATATTACTCCATGCTTTTAATGAGTCTCTATTGAATTCTGAAAGTGCTGTATTTGGTTTCACGAACGCTTCACGTAATTCACTCGTTGGGCAAGCAACTGTCGATCGTTATTATTTGGCATCCTTTGAAAGATCGAAAAGTTTTTTTACAAGGTCCCAATTTATTTTTCATGATAAAGTTGAGGTGTTGCATTGCGACTGAATAAAAGGTCCATTAATTGCATTTTCAGATTGCGTATGTGGTCCATTAGCGTTTCTTCGCTGGATTTAAAAAATACAGGCATGTTTTAGCAATAGACTTTCTAATTGAAGATTGTAGGTCAAAACTAATTTTAATTCTCTGATAATTCATGATTAAAAGATGATTACGACAAGTAGTCAGTTCAGGTTTATTCTCCTAAAATTTTAACTATGCCTTTTAATGTTTGCAGCAGAAGATGGACTGTTTGTAACAAAAGATGAAAAGACGTTGGAATTAAAAGATTCTCCATGTACTTTCAATGTTAATGCAGATGAAAATTTTCACAGCAAATTGCAATTGATAACGAAACTAGTTTATGATGACTACATCCTGTTGCCTGATGGTGTTACTGTAAGCGTTTTATTAGATGTTTAGAATTGAAATTTTATAATTAAGGTCCGCAGTTTTCCAAGTCTGAAAATTTATTCAGAAGTATATGCAGTCATTTGTTTGTACTTTTAATTTAGCTTGAGTGATTGTTCTTATGCTCATCTTCAGTTATTTGTAGTGCTTTGTCTTTACTAGAAAGGTTATACTGTAGTTTACTATAAGTTTTGAAGACATAAATTGACTACTTAGTTGCTGCATGCTTCGTGCTTTCATTGTTTATTTATTGTTAAAGGTTATATCAGTGGAACCTTCAGCGGGCCATTTACCTTCATTAAATCTTTATCACTCATGTAAAGCTCCTTATCATGTAATGTTAGCATGTAGCGATGATAATATTCGATTTTACGAGTGTGTCAGAAATATTGCTAGTAATGGATCGGTAACATATATTTGGAAAATGTGGGGAATGATTAGTAATAACATGGATTCGTGCATAGAAATGGACGGTAGGTATCATTTTATTTTAAAGCTGGTCAAAAAAATTTTTCTTTGATGTTTGGATGCTAATTTTAAAAAACACTGTCTTCAGAAGTTATATTCCAGGTCAGATCCTTTCTTTGTCAGCAGCTCATAGCACTCGATTTGCTTGTGCTTACTTGCCTGAGGGTATTGCAAACACAGCTTCAGTAAACCACATAAAAGTTGGTGTGTTTGAATGCGAATCGTCTGGTGGGGTTGAGTGGCTTAGAGAAGATACAGTTATTGTGAATATGCAACAAAAATTCAGGTTTTCAAACTATGAAAAATTGTTATTCCTTTAATGACCTTGAAAAAAGATAGTAATGCACTCTTGTGCATATTTTTAAAATAAGCACTAGGTATTTATGCATTGCACGTAGTACCTTTTTCTCCTCATCTAAAGCAAGATTCTTCATTGACAGGAATATGCTTCATTCGTAATCATAATGAGACACGATTTTCAGAAAGCTCTCAACCATTTATAATCATAGTGGGTTGGAAAAGACAGTTTCGAAAGGTCCTTGTTTTTATAACATTGGTTTTTGATTGTATTTATTACTATTTGGAACAATTAAAATCTCGCATAATTTATGCATGTTAATCATATTATAAAACGTTGAAGGGGAGTTTCGTTCATCATAATACTTTTATTTCGTAAATTTTTTCAGATTTTCCAGTCAATAATGTTTGTTTAAAATGGGTTTCGACCGAAGACGGCTCGCATATTTTAACAGTAGCGCTCGGTATTTATGTGTTTTTATATACACAAGTTTCACAAGGGGCCGCTCAAAGAAATATTGTCATGATGAAAGAACATGACACACATCGTCGAGCTCCTTTGAGAAAAACTTCTTCACTCGCAAACCCAACAACTATATCTACTCGTCTGGTTAATTTCAGAAAAATTTTTTCAATTCATTGATTAGTGAAAAATAAGTTCTCAAACTTAACTGCATTTATCATTTTAATGTTTAAGATTTTATTTTGACGAAAGTACTTCAAGTTTTCTGGTTGTGATGTAAATACTGATTGGTAGGATATAGTATTTTTCTGTGTGTTACTGTTGACGAATTTGTAATTCCCTCAGAATTGAATGACTAATGAAATTAAAATGTTTATTAATGTCACTGATGAATTTTGATTCTATATTTTCTCTTTTACTTCTTGTGTTTATTCCCACATGAATCGTATAGAAAAAATAATTCCTCATAAATTTAGCTGAAAATATAATACATTGATTTTAGCACTACTTGTAGCGCAATTTCAATTTTATTGCAGGTACGCTGGCTTTGCATACGATTTTTGGAATTGCAATCAGCGGACGATTTACCACCTTTGCCAACCACTTTAGGCTGGGTTCGTGACGGTTTGTTGGTGATTGGTATGCGTAGCGAAATGCGTTGCTACAGTCAGTGGAATTTCAGGACAGAATTTTTGAAAAATGGCGAACTGGAAGAAATTGCAAGAAAAGATCTTTCAAAGTATGCTCATGTACTTTTTTTGAAACGCATTGACTCTACAGAACTTATTTTCTTCAAAATCTCAATCTTTCAGACGTAAACCACCGAGTCAGCTTGCACTTGCTAATTTGGGTATCAGTCAGTCGCATTCAACATTAGATCAGTTGTCAAAAAAATCTAAACAAGAAACCCTTCCTTTGAATAAACAAAAAATGTACAAGAATCTGCTGCACAGGTCTTCTGCAATATTTTTAGTTCTAATTATTCAGTTTTTCTTTTTTTTCCAATTCTATTCATGAGTCAGGACACTTTTTAGAGTTTATACAGCTCCGTACGACTTGCAAACACTGTTGTTGAAAGACGAACATGTACTAGAAGCCATTAGCGACGAAGGTTTATTTGAAGCTGCTCGTTTGGCTAGTCCAATCTTGCCTCAGTACCATCCAAAATTGCTCATTGAACTCTTAAATTCAGGGAGAACAGGAGTAGTTAAAGCAATATTGTTGCACGTTTTGAACTGTTTAAAGGTTGGCGTCTTTTTGATTGCATGAAGAAAACAGTGATGACATTCATAAAAAAGTTGGTAGAAGTGTATTGATTTGCAGCAACTGAATGTATCGATATCAAATCCGTTGTCACGTGCGTCGTCTGTTCGTAAAATGTCATTAACCGATGCTGACTTGAAAATGGAAGGTTCGGGACAAGATATTGCACGAGGCCTCTGTGATACTTTTGATGATTCGAATTTAGAATATGAAGAGCTTGGTGGTATTCCTCCATTATCACTTCATACTTTGTTATTTCCGTGTGATTCGTCTTCTATTGACAAAGAGAAAGTGTCGGAAAAAGTACAAGTAATTTCAACTTTTATGCTTATTTTGAATAGTATTTGGTACAGTTTGAATCTGAATTTCGGTGACGTGTTGTTCAATCAAATCTTCAGAGTGGACATATTTCACTTTTTGATGAGCCATGTGATGACAGTGGTTCAGATCGTTCATGGGATATTGACAGTGAATCAAAGAAATCTCGCCATGATTCATTATCTTTAGATGATACACAACCGCATCTTTTGTCGATAAATTTCACTGCTAAACACAACCGTTTACTGACAGAGTTTCTTACACACATTCACTTACCAGGTCAGTTGTTGGATCCATATGTTAGCTTGCCATTCAGTAGTCTTCATGTCGTTACTTGATTGCAGGTCTATCAAGTGTAGACCAAGTGCACTTATTATCGATTTCTGACACATTGAGTCATTTCTCATCAAATGTAATGGATAAAGTGACGCAAGCAAATGCAGGTATGTAATTATTTCTCTTTTCCATATAGTCATCAGTCGTTGAAGTTATTTGTTACGTTAAAAGCTGTGATGCTAGTATCTTAATTTTTATAACTTTTTTGTATTATTTTAGCCTTCCATACTGCTCAGCCCCGAATAGTAAGCGATGTAGCAAGTGGTTATGCTACACCTACAGCAGGGTTTGAAACCGTTGACGAATGTGGTTTAAGATATCTAATGGCCATGAAACAACATGAATACTTATTATTATGCTTACCACTACAGCAGAAGCATATTCTTCGTTCGAGGTTTCTAATTTGGGATCTTCTGGATATATTATCACAAAATTACTCAACAAGCTCATTTTCTTCATTTTTTTTAGAGGATTATCACCGTCGCAGATTATTTGGGCTTTACATTCAGAAACCGAAACGGAACTGCTCAATGCACTTCCCTGTCTTCAGAAGTCCTCATTGTCATGGGATGAGTTGAGATCATCGGGAGTTGTTTGGTGGTTGAAAAATACATCATCCTTACGTATGATTATTGAAAAAGTTAGTTGAATTGGTGTGGATTTGCTAATCACTATGAACTAATAAAAGAATATTTTATGTTGTATTCAAACTTCATTATCAATTTGCAGCTGGCAAAAGCGGCGTTTCAAAAAAAGCAAGATCCTCTCGACGCATCGCTTTATTATCTTTTGATGAAGAAAAAAAATTTGTTGACTCATTTGTTTAAAGTTGGTTATTGTCAGCCGAATTATCATGCTTAAATATATTTTCATTACTGTGTGATTACAAAGATGGTGCTACTGCGAAGCACATAACTTTACGTACTTGCAGACAGTTAAAGACACCAAAATGCTGGAGTTTTTTTTGCACGATTTCAATGAAGAAAAATGGAAAAAGGCAGCTCTGAAAAATGCGTTTGTGCTTATGGGAAAGCAACGTTTTCAGCATGCTGCTGCATTTTTTTTACTAGCTGGTTCAATTAAAGATGCATTACAGGTGATGAATATTTACTTGTTTAATTTTGCTACATTTTTCCACTGTTATTCACCACTCTTTTCTTGCAGATAGTAGTGAATAAATTACAAGACTTGCAACTTGCAATGGTAATAGTTCGACTCTATGAAACAGACTACGAAGAACAAAGTAATTTATTAAGGGAGTTGCTCTGTCGGGAAATTTTCGGCGCTGGGATCGTGGATTTAAAGGATTTTGATAAAATGCCCAGCGCACACAGGTACATTATTTCCAAATTTTCAGCTTTTTGATTTTGACAAATGTGCTTGACTATCACAATCTCTCTGAATCAAAATTATGGCAGAAACCCGTTTGTGAGATCAATGGCTTATTGGCATTTGAAAGAGTATGTTCGAGCAGCAAATACATTGGTTGATGAGGCAGGTCGCGTTCATTTAGATGCTTCCACGGAATATTCTTTGTCAGATATATTTAATTTCTATTCATTCATTCGCACTCATCCTCTCGTTATCCGGCAAAGACTTGTGAATACGGGAATTCAGGTCTTAGAGATTTCTCATTTTACTTTGCCAGGGAATAAAAGCGACTTGGACATATTCTAGAAATAAGTCTTATTTTCAGATAGGTTCCACTGAAAAGTTTTTAGCCGTTGCGAAGTATTTTGCATCAGTAATTACACCTCCAGAACGGAGATTGTATTTCCGAACTGCAAGTGCTCATATGGCATCGGGATGTCCTTTGCTTGCTCTTGATGTGTTGACACGCTTGCCTAAAAACCTCACTGCATCTGAATTGTCATTTTTACTTCCTACTATCGTCAAGCATACTGTTAGAGTCTAATATTTTTTTCTGTTGTTTCTAATTAAACTTAAACTAATTTTCGGTACATTACGAATGTTTTCCAATTGCGAAAACAAACATGAGTTTTATTAATATTGGTTTTGTAGTACTCAACCTCGTAAAGCTTTTAGAAATCACAAACAGTGAAAAATGAAGGTCAATCGAACATAATGAATTTGAGTGTACCAATATATACTTTAATCGATCAAGAACTGAACTTGCATTTAAATGATTCGGAAACAGGAAACGAAGTTGTGACGCAGGAAAAAAGCAGTAGAGAAGTTCTACTGAAAGATTTGGACAAAGTTAGTTAATGAAAGGGTTTCGGTTTCTTGTCTGTGTCAGGAATGAGTAATTTTTGTCATACAAAATTTATGTTGATCATTTTATTTTTACATCCTCCTTTTTATACATGTTGATGCGCAAATTATTGATGTCATTTTGATCGTTTGTAGCTTTATGTTGATTATTTAGGACGATAAAAATAGTGTAACAATGGATGTGATTGCTTACCATATGAAGTTTATTGTTACATTACGACTCTTGATTGAAGAGTTATCAGTCTTAGCAAATGGTTTTGAAGTGGATGGAAGACAGTCTCGTTATCAAGTAAATTTTTTATCATTTAGATAATTTTTTTTCCCGTCATTTACTGCATTCCTCTAGCAAAACACTTTTTCTTCATATTACTTATTTCAGTTGCATAACTGGCTAGAACTAAGCGTGAATGTGTTGAGAAATATTTGTGATTATCGTTCCGATTACAATAATTGGAAGCTTTTTGGTATTGTCCAAAATGAAGATAAATTCAGTGGTGGCATTAAGTAATATTTTTTCTTATTTATTTTAAAGTGAAACGTACGCACATATTTCATTTTTTATATTTTAATAATGTAGTGAGTCACTAACTCGTTCGAAACGATTATCTTTTTCCATTCCCAATGTGCTGCCCCTTGATGTTAACATGTTGAAATCGTTACCTGCTATTCATCTAAATTGCCGTAATTTAAAAATATATATAATATATATCTTCTTGAGAACTATCAATTGGATGTATGCCTCGACGTGGTCTGATATACTGATCTCCTTCGCATAGTGTTTGTGGAAGTTAGTTACAATCCCAACCGAAGTCATCATATACGAAATTATTTCGGTACTACATTTCATCTCTGACCCAAGCTTGTGTAGCTTCTTGTCGTGTATCATGATATCTGGTCGATCTGCTTTTATTCTGATTGCAGCTCTCACTCACCTATTGACTCTGATCTCAGCGTCCTCATTTGCCACGACCTCCTGAGCACGATGGCTTCGCAAGCGCGGGAATGCTTTCAGACCATACTTCTTGCAGAGTACTAAAGGGATATATCGCAGGACCTCATTGTGTTCTTCTAGTATGGTCGTGATATAACATTTTTTCGCACTGCGTTGCTAGGTGGTCCACCGTCTTCACACGTTCCCTACAATGTTAGCACATACCTTTCTCACCTCCAAACATATTCACATACTTTTCTCACCTCCATACATTCTCCAGCTTGAGCTCACCGATGTAATAATTTATTAAACTTATGACGTGCTCATTCAAAGCCTTGATAAAGTTCTTGCCATTTAGTGCAGTATTGGCTAACCGCTCAATTCTCACTAAAATCTCTGCATGGACTTTATCCTAGCTTTCACGGGTAGGTGCAGTAGTCCTGTCTTCCACTATTCCAAGGCCGCTTTATCAGCGCATACCTCGGTATTAGTGGCTGACTTTGCTGAATTTACTTTTAGTCTTGCCACATCAAGAAACCTTTCAACTTCTGCCATAGATTTTATGATATCTTCATCGGTCTCAAATATCTTGAGATCATCCACAAACAACAGATGATTCGTTATTCCTTGACCAGTTGGAACCGCCACCTTTGGTGCCTTATAGTAAGCCAGCGGCTCAACGGGTCCATGCACAGGACGAATAGTAGCCGATAAAGGCTGACATCTTGGAGAATTATACGTTCTAATTTTTTCTTCATCATAGTTCCTACATTGTTTTTAAGAACAACTGCCCATCTGGATGTGATGCTTTTTAGAAATCTGCTTATCCTAATGGCATGTTAAGCCTTTCGATACATTTAATCAGGTATCCGTGATTAACGGAATCTAAAGCTTTTTGATGTTATACCACGTAGTATAGAGCTAGTTCCCGTGCTCTTTGCAAACCGCCAGGTTCAGTATAGCCTGTTCTTTTGTACCTTGAATCTGGGTAACATCTTATAATTAATTATCTGCAAGCAGCTTTCTCATGGCAAGATCTTAACTGCATGACGTGTGTCACATTTCGTTGTCAATTTTTAAAGGTTCTACATACAGGTTATTGGCCTGAATTTGCTGCTTTTACTTTGGACATCTTTTGGTATCAGGTAAGAGGTGCCTTTATAAAACCACGGATCCTGTTCCTCGACATTCAGACAAATTCCTCTCACTATAGGAAGTGCACCTCCTTGCAGACAGGTCAGGATGCAAGGAGGTGCACTTAATAGAGAAGTTATAAACACCATCAGGCCCTGCTGATTCCCGATTGGGCAACCGCTTCTATTCTAATAGTAGTTCTTGCTCGCGTGTCGACTCTGATTTCAACGTTCTCGTTAGCGATGATTTCTTGTACGGAGTGCCTCTGCATGCGTGGAAATGCGTTTAGACCATATATATATATATATA